CTTCCTCCTAATAAATATCTCTTCAGTGTATTTACCTGGATTAATTAAGACAGGTAAGGAAGCCTCTGACGTCATAACAGTGTATGGGTAGTTTATCTTGCCTTAAGTTAGTTGTATGGTGTTGGTCTTCAGTGATTGGTGGATCAGATCAGGTGTTCATAGGTGTTAAAATTAATTAAGATTTTGTTACCTTTTTCGTATTTTTATTATTATTATTTTTATTACTATTATTTGCAAGTATTTTCCTTATTCTTATATTTATTTCTTTTATCTTTTCTCCTTCTTTTCTCTTCTTTGTCTTCGTATTTTTTCCCACGTATTTTCTTCCCTCTTCCCTTCCTTCCTTCCTCACATCTATCACATAAAAACATTGCAATTGTCTCCCATTCCACCACTTCACACCTCGGCACCAAGACTCTCGAGGTGTAGTTAAGATGATTCACACTCACTATACTCACTATCACACACCTATAAGATACTCACTATGTTATTATACACCTGGGCTATACTATTCTGACTGACTGCCTCGTAATGCGTCTGTCCAGTAGGGTGAACGGGGGGTGAGAGTACGGTGGGGGGTGGGGGGGGGTGAAGGGAAGGTTGGGGAGACAGGGAGGTGGGGAGAGGTGTGTGTGGGAGAGAGATAAGAGTGAGGGGGGGATAAGGGTTGTGAGAAAGGTGAGGGTGAAGGAGAGAGAGAGAGAAGTGAGGGGGAGAATGATTGTGTTTCTGAAATGATTAGAGTATAAGTCATCGTCATCATTATCATCATCATCATCGTCATCATTATCATCATCATCGTCATTGTTTACAACCACATACAACCACATTGTCTATGGCGTCACAACCACCAAGGTCTCTTAGTGGTCAGTTCGGTAGTCACGTGAGTAGGCCTACCTGTCACGACTTATAGGCCTACAGTCACCTGGTTGGTGTTTCAAAATAGATTAGGTCTGGCTACACACACACGCACACACACACACACACACACACACACACACTAATCCGCCTGGGAGTTGGTGGCCCACAGGTCCAGCCTTAGTTAATTTCCTATTAATATCATCATCATCATCATCATCATCGTCATCATCGTCATCATCGTCATCATCATCATTATTATTATTATTATTGCTTGAATTTTGTGTATGTATGTATGTAGCTTGCCGTTCGCTCGTTCAATTAATCGGCAGTTAAATGAGTGGTTGTGGTGTGACGTCAGAACAGTTAATGACCCAAGGCAGGAGTGAACGGCTGAGTCCCTTCTACAGCACCAGGGCGTGTTAAGGAGGCGTGGAGTGTTGGTGATGCCAGAGTGTTTGGTGATTCAGATCGGGTCATTGGGATGTGATTGGATGAGGGGGATTTATGATGTGAGATGGATGTGTGTGTGTGTGGGGAGGTAATGTGGTTTTTGGATATGTGGATGTAGAGTTACTTTTGTTTACAGGTTTATCAATTTAGGTTAATTTTGATTTTGGGGATAATTTACTCGTAGATCTAACCTAACTTTAAAGACCTTGAGAGAAAATACACACACACACACACACACACACACACACACACACACACACACACACACACAATATTCGTCCTTATTTCCTCCTGGTGAATATGTAGCTGTTAACTCAGATGGTGATGGTGACGTATGAGGGTGGTAAAAATGTCTCTCTCTCTCTCTCTCTCTCTCACTCACTTGTTTGTATTTGTTAATTGTTTGTTTTCATGATCGGGAGAGGGGGAGGGAGGAGTGGGGGGGCAAAGAGAGGGTGGGGAGGGGGTCATTATACCACCCACCATCGATCTCCTCCTGTTCATCATTACCATAATCCATAACACCATTATTCCATTGTTCTTACACTGGGTCCTTCATCTCCCTCCTTCCCTCCTTCCCTCCCTCCTTCCCTCCCTCCTTCCTTCCTTCCCTCCAGACTATTAACTCCTCGCTGCCTCTCCTCTTCTCATTCCATCGTCGTCCCCCTTCCCTCTCCACTTCCAACCTCCTCCTCCTCCTCCTCTTTCTCCTCCTCCTCCTCTTAACATTATTTACTCACATCCTCCCCATATTATATCATCCACAAGGCTACAACAACCACTCCCATCACCCACCATCACCCACCACCACCACTATCACCACCATCACCCACCATCACACCACCATCATCACCCACCACCACCACCATCACCACCATCACCCACCACCACCTATCACCACCACCACCACCACTAGGGTCTGCAGAAGGGACTCTTGTCATGTGAACTACCTAGAGAGCTGGCGACCCACACGCCATCTGCTGCTGTGTCCTCTCATCACTGCTGCCACTACTGCCCATGCTACTTCCTCCTTCCTCCCTTTCTGCCCACTACTTCCCCACCCACCTGACCACTACCCTTACTACTTCCCCCACCCCTTGACCACTACCCTTGCTACTTCCCCACCCACCTGACCACTACCCTTGCTACTTCCCCACCCACCTGACCACTACCCTTGCTACTTCCCCCACCCACCTGACCCACCCACCACCACTACCCCCTACTACTTCCCCTCCCTCTCTCCCTCCTGACCACTACTACCCCTACTACGGCTACTTCCCTCTCCTTCCTAATTACTAGCAATGCTACTTTCCTCACTCTTCCTTCCTTACCTTCCTCTATCCACACAAACACACACACACACACACACACACACACACACACACACACACGTACTTATTACAACTGACACACACAATCGTTGTCAGAAACAGCTGGTTTGGGTGCATCTGGTCTGACAGCTGACCCTAACATAAACAGCTGACTCACACGAGTGACGGACATGATGTGATAATAAAACTCTAAGCTGGAGAGAGAGAGAGAGAGAGAGAGAGAGAGAGAGAGAGCCGAACCTAATGTACTCGTAACCTTACCTAACCTGACCTGACCTTACCTGACCTTACCTGACCTGATTCGGTGGATTCTTTTCTGTTGTGTGTTAAGAAGTTATTACTGGGTTGTTTACATCACGGAGGAGGAAATTGACCAGCTGTTGCATGCAAGAGGACCTTCTGAGAGCCCGGGGCATCTGTACAGTGTTGCACGACACATGTGCTGCATTGCTGAAGCCCTTGGCATACCTTACAGCAGCTGCAGGGGAGGTAATGTTGCAGGAACGAGGAAGAGAAGCTTGGAAGGGTCCGGGGCATCTGTGCAACGTTGCAAGAGTCTTCTGGTGGCGTGTTGAAGCCCCGTGGTGGTGTGTTGAAGCCCCATGGTTGTGTGTTGAAGCCCCGTGGTGAACTGTTGAAGTGGTGGTGTGTTGAAGCCCCGTGGTGGTGTGTTGAAGCCCCATGGGTGTGTTGAAGCCCCGTGGTGGTTGAAGCCCGTGGTGGTGTGTTGCCCTGTGGTGGGTGTGTTGAAGGTGGTGGTGTTGAGCCCCGTGGTGGTGTGTTGAAAGCCCCGTGGTGGTGTGTTCCCGTGGTGGTGTGTTGAAGCCCCTGAAGCCCTGGTGGTGTGTTGATGCCCCTGTGGTGGTGTGTTCAAGCCCCGTGGTGGTGTGTCTGCCCGTGGTGGTGTGTTCAAGCCCCGTGGTGGTGTGTTCAAGCCCCGTGGTGGTCTAGGAACAGTTAAAAAAACGTCATTGTAACCCAGGTAACTGAGATCTTTGAGAGGGGCCCAGTTAATTAGTGCAATGTTACAGGTTTGTGATACATTAATGACCTCTTGTGGGTGCCCTTGCAACACCTGGGGAGGGGGTGGGGGGTCTACCTGCAACAATAGCGTACCTGTTGGAATTTGTTTAATCTTTAGTAAGTATAATATTAATGATGAGTCTTGGTGTGTGTGTGTGTGTGTGTGTAGGTAATGTGAACTTGGAACCTGAGGAAGTGTTTGTTTGGTATGTGTGTTCGTTGTTAAGATGAGGTGTTGAGAGAGAGAGAGAGAGAGAGAGAGAGAGTTGTGTTTACGTCACGCAGCTTCAGACATAGGAGCATCGCATTTGATATACTCATGAGGTTTCGATCCTGAAGTAAGAGGATTTGAACCTTTGTACCTTCAGAGTCCCTTACCTTTGGGGAACCTGTGTACTTATATTATCTTAAGCACTGAAGTAATAAATAAAAGCATCGTAGTTTGTATAGATGCCAGGGGATCCAAACCGGTTCTGACTTGACTAGAAGGGATTTGAAACTTTTTTTTTTTTTTGACATCCTGAGTTGGGTTATCATTCTAAGTCCATATTAACCTCTTTTTCTCTCAGTTTATTAAGACTCCTGATTTACTTTATGATTCTAAGACTCTGAAAGGAACGTCTTAGTTTAGGCTCAAGTCTTAAAGGTATTTTTTTTTCTCGTATTGGATTAGAATTTGACGTTTATCCCAGCCTGGTGAGTTTTCGTGTCGTGATTGGTCAGTCTGGTGAGTTGTTTAGTGATTGGTCAGTTTGATGAGTTTGGTGATTAGTGATTGGTCAGTTTGATGAGTTGTTTAGTGATTGGTCAGTTTGATGAGTTGGTGATTAATGATTGGTCAGTCTGGTGAGTTGGTGATTAGTGATTGGCCAACTAGTATTTCTCTTGCTAGTTGTGAAGTGTGGTGGCTGCTATGTTGATTGTTGCTATTACTATTATTATTGATGTAGATGGTTTCCTTTTAATTTAAAGAGGAACAAATATAATCTACTTTCGGTTTTTGTGATAATAGTAAATAGCAGAAAGTTTTAAGGGTACTGTAATAAATGGGTTTACATTGAGGTTAATACAGGAGGTATATATTTTTTTTAAGAGTTGTGGTTTGGGGAAAAAAAAGACAAAATAATCCTATTACCATTAAGGAAAGTTTCCATTTTCACCTTTGATAATTAATTAGTGATTTTTTGGTGATCTTGGGAAATGTTTCAGGTGTGGTTGTGTTAATTAGCAGGTGTATGTTTTAGTTCCTTGAGATGTGACAGGTGTGCTGGCAGGTGTATCAACTCATGGGGTAACTGTCAACAGGTGTACTAACAGTTGTTGTCTCTTCCCCAGGCAGTGAGTGAGTGGTCGGCGGCAGTGATGGTGGGGGAGCGGCGGCACCCTCTCTTGGCCCAGATGCCCGCCCCGGCCGCCCACGCCCCGCCCCACGCCCACAGACAGCACATCGTGGGCGTGCCGAGCGTGGGCGTGCCGGGGGTGGGCGTCAAGTTGATGCAGGAGCCTGGGTTCGCCGCCCACGACTCCCACCTGTACACCCGTGACCTCCAGCTTGGCTTACGGTACCGTGACGACTCCCCTCAGGGCTACGTGGCCCAGGGGCTCGGGACGCCCTCGGGGGTCAGGTACCCCCCCGGAGTACTGCCGTTGGGTCAAGCAGGGGCCGAGGAGGACCCCAGGAGACAGAGGGCGCTGTCCCCTGGCTCTCAACACTCTGCCGCGGCCACGTTCTTTGCAAGGTGAGTGAGAGACGGTGTTAGCTGTGCCAGGCAGAGGCAAGAGGCACCTTTGGAGTGTTGGAGTATGTTGGAGTATATCTTGGAGTGTATATAGGAGTATACTCAGGCTCGGGGAGGGAGGGAGTGCTCCACCAGGAAAGTTTGGTGACTACAGTAAAAGTTTGTTTATGAACCCTAGAAGTTATTAATTTATTGTACAGGTAAAATATGTCTGTGTTTAAGCCTGACGTAAGCTGACCTGACCTAACGTAACAGGAGATTCAATTGTGGCCTCTGTTACTTTGGGAACGATTGGAGTAAGTAGTGAAGGGGGTGGGCGAGTGAAGGTGTTAGGGAAGGATAGAGGGAGTGTGGGAGTGAGTCTCTACCTACGAGGAGACTCACATATAAGTCTCAAAAGTGGAGTTTGTGGGTCAGAGGTCCCCAGGATGGTGCCTTTAAGCTTGTGAGTCAACACGTGTAGAGTCCAATATAAGGTGGGGGGGGGAGGAGGTAGGAGAGGAGGAGGGGGAAGAGGAGGAGGAGGGGGAGGAAAAGGAGGTAGGAGGAGCAGGAGAAGAAAGGGAGAAGGGGGAGGAAGAGGAGGAGGTAAGGAATAGAAAGAGGAAAAGGAGGGAGGGAGATAGAGAAGAGGAGGGGGACGAAAGGAAGATGAAAGTAGAACAGAAAGAGGGAGGAGGAGGAGGGATAAGGGAGAAACGAGAGGAAATTAGGGAAGGAGAAGGAGCAGGCAGAGGAATAGGGAAAGAAGAGAAGCAGAGGAAGGGTAGAGGAGGAGATGGAAGAGGAGGCAGGTGTCAACAGGAAAGGAGAAGAGGAAAGGCAGGTAGGAAGGTACTGAAGAGAAAGAGGAAATAAGAAATAAAAGGAGGAGGAGGAGGGAGAAGTAGGAAGAGGAAGGAAGAACAAGATGAGGATAAAGAAGGAAAGGAAGGGGAAGGAGGAGGGAGAAGAGGAAGCAGGAAGAGTAAGGAATGAAGTAGAGAATTTTAAAAGAGAGTCGTGGTACTACTCAGTCATTGTGTATAAACCCTCATGTACACCATTATGTTACGTAAAGAAGCATGTTGTTGTTGTGGTTGTTATTGTTTTTGTTATTATTGTTGTTGTTTTTGTTATTATTGTTGTTATTATTATTATTGTTGTTATTATTATTATTGTTGTTATTATTTTTATTATTGTTATTATTGTTGTTTTGGTTGTTATTGTTATTAATGTTTTTATCATTATTATTATTATTATTATTATTATTATTATTATTATTATTATTATTATTATTATCATTATCATTATTATTATTATTATTATTCACTCAAACAGATATCAACAAACACTTCTTATAAATTCCCAGTAACTTCATAAGTCAACCGATGCCTCAGATACAAACACAAGCACCTGTTTGTTTTGTGTTTGTTTGTTTGTTTGGAAGTCTTAAATGTGCAAATATACTTACACACAAACATACACAAACACCTAATCTAGCATACACAAACACCCACGTAATATTAATATCTTCTCTTCTCTTCTCTTCTCTTCTCTTCTCTTCTCTTCTCTTCTCTTCTCTTCTCTTCTCTTTCTTCTCCTCTTTTGTCTTCTCTTCTCTTCTCTTCTCTTCTCTTCTCTTCTCTTCTCTTCTCCTCTCCTCTTTTGTCTTCTCTTCTCTTCTCTTCATCATGAGAATAAAACACGTGTATCATATAAGACATTGTTACGTAATCCACTACTGGAGGATGATGGAGGGAGGATTGTGGAGGATGAAGGACTGTGGAGGATGAAGGACTGTGGAGGATGAAGGACTGTGGAGGATGAAGGACTGTGGAGGATGGAGGACTGTGGAGGATGGAGGACTGTGGAGGATGAAGGACTGTGGAGGATGAAGGACTGTGGAGGATGGAGGACTGTGGAGGATGAAGGACTGTGGAGGATGAAGGACTGTGGAGGATGGAGGACTGTGGAGGATGGAGGACTGTGGAGGATGAAGGATGTGGAGGATGAAGGACTGTGGGAGGATGAAGGACTGTGGAGGATGGAGGACTGTGGAGATGAAGGATGTGGAGGATGAAGGACTGTGGAGGATGGAGGACTGGATGATGAAGGACTGTGGAGGATGAAGGACTGGAGGTGGAGGACTGTGGAGGATGGAGGACTGTGGAGGATGAAGGACTGTGAGGATGAAGGACTGTGGAGGATGAAGGACTGAGGATGAAGGACTGTGGAGGATGAAGGACTGTGGAGGATGGAGGACTGTGGAGGATGGAGGGACGTGTGGAGATGGAGGACTGTGGGAGGATGAAGGACTGTGGAGGATGAAGGACTGTGGAGGATGAAGGACTGTGGAGGATGAAGGACTGTGGAGGATGGAGGATGTGGAGGATGAAGGACTGTGGAGGATGAAGGACTGTGGAGGATGGAGGACTGTGGAGGATGATGAAGGACTGTGGAGGATGGAGGACTGTGGAGGATGATGGGACTGTGGAGGATGGTGACAGGAGAAGTCAACACATGAAGGAGGAACTGAAGGATCTCCCTCTTATATCCTTCAGGACTTACATCAAGGACAGGATGAAACAGATACTGAGTTGGAGTCCTTGGGGGGTCGAGGATGAGCTTGAGGACCTTGGTTGTGTGTGTACTGTAGGATGTCTCTTGAGGATTAGGTGGAGTCCTACTATATGTGTGGGGGGTGGTGGTGTGTGGGGGGTTATCTCCTCCTCCCTCATTCCTTCCCTACTCCCTACTCCTGCTATTCCTCCAACTTCCTCCCTTTCCTCCCCTTCCTCCCCTTCCTCCTTCCCTCCCCCTTCCCCCTTGTGTGTGCTTACATGAAGGTGTTTGTGTTCCCTTGTTTACATCAGGGCTTAGGTTCCATCCTCTTCCTTCTCCTCCTCCTTCTCCCTCCTTCTCTACTCTCCTCCTCTTTTTCTTCCTCCCCCTCTACTCCAACCCTCCCTCTCCTTTCTTTCCTTTTCCCCCATCCCCTAATACTCCCCTTCCTCCTGTACACCCACCTTCCTTAACTCAGTTCATTATATTAATTAGTCTCTCTGCCTCACCAGAAGGACTTAAGAAAATGTCATTGTTTTTGTTATGATGCACACCTACTGGACCACCCTGGCTCTAGCAACACTGACAGAGAGAGAGAGAGAGAGAGAGAGAGAGAGAGAGAGAGAGAGAGAGAGAGAGAGAGAGAGACGATGAAATCAAAGCAGGTTCTCTTGAGAGGAAAAAGAATATAGACATTTCTTGTAATATTTTTCTTTAAGATGCGTTATCCGCTCTGGCCAGGGAGGAGGAGGAGGGGGTGGACGAAATTAGACCTTCGGCAGGCAGGTCATTGAGGCGTTTTTCCCCCTTTTGTATACTTCGAGTGTTCAATAGCTCTGGGAAAAGCGACCTTAGGATGTGAGGATGTGGAGGATATTGTGTTAAGGAATCCCAAGCCTTCAGAGCAGAGGTAAAGCGACCTTCAGGCCCCAGCACGTAGAGGCGGTGTTACCCCTGCCCCTCCACACACACACACACACACACACACACACACACACACACCACCCCACCACCCACACCCCACCCCCCCTACTTTCCCCACACCCCCCCCCCACACCCCACACACCCCCCCCCACCCCCACACACACACCCCCACACCCCCACCCCCACCCCCACACACCCCCCCCCACACACCAACACACCCCCACCCCACACACCCCCCCACACACACACCCCCACACACACACCCCCCACACACACACCCCCCCACCCCCCACACACACCCCACCCCCACATCCCCACACACACCCCACACCCCCACACCCTCTCCCCACACCCTCTCCCCACACACACCCCACACACACCAACACACCCCACCCCACACACCCCCCCACACACCCCCCCCACACACACCACAACCCACCTCTCCACACCCCCCACACACACACCCCACACACACTCCTCTCCCACACACCCCCCACACACCCCCCACACACTGAGATACAAAGTGTTTTCTAGAATGTGACTTTTAAGACCAGGCGCTAAGAGTCCTCTGGCGGCCATTTATTGTAACACTTGTAATTACTCTACGGTGGAAGATCAAACAGACGGATATAACGCGGTATATTCCCCAGGCTGTGTGTTTGGTATAGCGAGTGCTGGTGTGCTGGTATATCTGGCCATGGTGTGCTGGTATATATGGCCATGGTGTGCTGGTATATATATCATGGTGTGCTGGGTATATCTGGCCATGGTGTGCTGGGTATATATGGCCATGGTGTGCTGGTATATCTGGCCATGGTGTGCTGGTATATATGGCCATGGTGTGTTGGTATATGCGGCCATGGTGTGCTGGTATATCTGGCCATGGTGTGCTGGTATATATAATATGTGCTGGTATATCTGGCCATGGTGTGCTGGTATATTATATGGTGTGCTGTATATATGGCCATGGTGTGCTGGTATATTGGCCATGGTGTGTTGGTATATATAATATGGTGTTGGTATATCTGGCCAAGGTGTGCTGGTATATATGCCATGGTGTGCTGGTATATCTGGCCATGGTGTGCTGGTATATCTGGCCATGGTGTGCTGGTATATCTGGCCATGGTGTGCTGGTATATCTGGCCATGGTGCAGTATATATGGCCATGGTGTGCAGTATATATGGCCATGGTGTGCTGGTATATCTGGCCATGGTGCGGTATATCTGGCCATGGTGTGCTGGTTTATATGGCCATGGTGTGCTGGTATATATGGCCATGGTGTGTTGGTATATCTGGCCATGGTGTGTTGGTATATCTGGCCATGGTGTGCTGGTATATCTGGCCATGGTTGGGTATATCTGGCCATGGTGTGTTGGTATATCTGGCCATGGTGTGCTGGTATATCTGGCCATGGTGTGCTGGTATATCTGGCCATGGTGTGCTGGTATATCTGGCCATGGTGTGCTGGTATATATGGCCATGGTGTGCTGGTATATCTGGCCATGGTGTGCTGGTATATCTGGCCATGGTGTGCT